AAAAAACTCAATGTAACACACTACATTAACAAATGTAGGACAAAATCCACATGACTATCTCAACTGATGCAGAAAAAGCATTTGACAAAATATAACACTCTTTCATGATAAAAACACTCAAAACTAGGAGTAAAAGGAAACTACCTCAACAGTGAATACATATCATACTCAACCATGAAAGACTAAAAGTTTTTCCTCTAAGATCAGAAAAAAGGCCGGGGTGCCTGGGTGGCTCAGTTGGTTGAGTGGCCAGCTTTGGCTCAGGTCATGATCTCACAGTTCGTGAGTTCGAGCCCTGCGTCGGGCTCTGTGCTCGCAGCTCAGAGCCTGGCACCTGCTTCAGTTTCTGTGTCTCCCTTTTTCTTTGCCCCATCCCTACTCATGCTCTGTCTCTCTCCGTCTTAAAAATAAAACATTTTTTTTTTAAAAAGAAAGAAACAAGGCAAAGATGCCTCCTTTCAGGGCGTCTGGGTGGCTCAGTAGGTTAAACATCTGACTTCAGCTCAGGTCATGATCTCATGGCTCATGAGTATGAGCCCTGCATCAGGCTCAGAGCCTGAAGCCTGCTTCAGATTCTGTGTCTCCCTCTACCTTTCTCTCTCTGCCATTCCCCTGCTAGCACTCTGTCTCTCTCTCTCTCAAAAATAAACTTAAAAAATATTTTTAAAAAAGGTGTCTCCTTTCAACACTACTATTCAACATAGTATTAGAATTGCTAGCCAAAGCAATTAGACAAAAAAAAAATAAAAGGTACCTAAATTGGAAAGGAAAAAAGTAAAATTATCTCTGCTCACAGATTATTTGATCTTATATGTACAAAACCTTAAACACTCAACACACACACACACACACACACACACACACACACACACACACACACAAACTGTTACAATTAATAATTTCAGCAAAGGGGCACCTGGATGACTTGTCGGTTGAGCTCTTGATTTTGGCTCAGGTCATGATCTCATGGTTTGTGAGGTCAAACCCTGAGTCAGGCTCTGTGCTGACAGTGTGGAGACTGCTTGGGATTCTCTCTCTCTCTCTCTCTCTCTCTCTCTCTCTGCCCCTCCCCCCACTTATGTTCATTCTCTCTCAAAATAAATAAACTTAAAAAAATTTTCAGCAAAGTAGCAGGATACAAAGTCAACACAAAAATCAGTTACATTTATATACACTAGCAATAATTAATACAAAGAGGAAATGAAGAAAATAATCCCATTTACTATGGCATCAATATTTAGGAATAAACATATCCAAGGAGGTAAAAGACTTGTACACTCAAAACTATAAAGCATTGCTAAAGAAAAGAAAGAAAATACAAATGAATAGAGACATCCCATGTTTATGGAATGGGAAACTTTAATACACTTAAAATATACATACTATCCAAAGTGATGTAAATATTCAATGCAATCTATATTAAATCCCAATGGCATATATATATTTTTATATACATGTATACATACATACATGTATGTATATATATGTGTGTGTGTGTGTGTGTATATAAACATTTTTTTTTTTTTTTTGCAGAGGTAGGAAAAAATCCTAAAATTTATATGGAATCTTAAAGTATCCCAAATATACAAAACAATCTTGAAAAAGAACAAAACTGGCAGCCTCACAGTTCCTGATTTTAAAGCATAACACAATGCAACACTAATGAGACAGTATGGTACTGGTATAAAGGCAGATGTATTGACCAACGAAACAGAATGGAGCCCAGAAGCAAACTCTTGCATATATATACCCAAATAATTTTTGACACAGGTGCCAAGACTACAAAATGGGGAAAAGACAGTCTTTTCAACAAATGGTATTGGGAAACCTGGATATTCACATGCAAAAAAAATGAAATTGGACTCTTACCTTACACCATATATATAAATTTAAACAGATTAAATACCTAAATGTAAGACCTAGAACTATATAATTCCTAGATGAAAACATAGGAAAAATCTTCATGACACTGGAGTTGGCAATGGTCTCTTGAATATGATAACAAAAGCACAGACAACAGAAGCAAAAATAGACAAATGGGACTACATCAAACGAAAAAACTTCCATCTGTCCAAGGAAACAATCAAGAGAGTGAAAAGGCAATCTATGAAATAAGAGAAAATATCTGTAAATCATATATCTGATAAAGGGTTAATATACAGACTATATAGAGAATTTCTACAACTCAAGAAGAAAACAGATAACTGGATTAAAAAATTGGCAAAGGACTTAAATAGACGCTTCTCCAAAGAAAATATACAGATGGCCAAGAAGGAACTGAAAAGATGCTCAATATCACAAATCACAAGAGAAATGCAAATCAGAACAACAATAAGATATCACCTCACACCCATTAGGATGGCTACTATCAAAACAAGAAAGTAAGTGTTGGAGAGGATGTGGAGAAACTGGAACTCTGCTGGGAATGTAAAATGGTGCAGCTGCTGCGAAAAGTGGTGTAGAGGTTCCTCAACACACTAAACATAAGAGTTGCATTGACTTATCAATTCCCCATCTAGAAATATATCCAGAAGAATTTAAAGCAGGATCTCAATGAGATATTTGCACACCCGTGTTCATTGCAGCATTATTACAGTAGCTTCCATTGGGTGGAAGCAACCCAAATCCCATCAACAGATGAATGGTTAAAGAAAACGCGGTTCATACAAACAATGGGATAGTTTCAAGTGTGGCAAAATGAAAGAGATCTAGAGATCTGTTGCACAACAATGTGAATGTTGTACACACCACCTAACACTACTATACACTTAAAAATAGTTAAGATGATAAATTTAATATTGTGAATTTTTTTACAGTAATAAATCTGAGCTATTATGAACTTTCAGGCTTTCCTCTCCCTATGAATATACAATTTCCCCCTAAAATGGACCACATTATACATACTATTTTATAATAGGCTTTTGTCCATTGACTACAGAAGAAAGTCTTTTCCAAGTTATTCTCTATCTTTTAGGTCATTTAAGTTTATTTGAGAGAGACAGAGACAGAGGGGGAGGGGACAGAGAAAGAGAGAGAGAGAATCCCGCGCAGGTTCTGCACTGTCAGCGCAGAGCCCCATGCAGGGCATGAACTTATGAAACTGTGAGATCATGACCTGAGCTGAAACCGAGAGTCGGATGCTTAGCCAACTGAGCCACCCAAGCACCCCTCTTTTAGGCCATTTAGAAAGGCTGTCTAGTATTGTTGGACACTAGACTGAATTATTTTATTCTTATGAATAATACTGTGTAGCTAAATCATGTTATGCCTTTTGAACAGTGATAATCTCAGCTTTTTTTCTCTCCTTTTCTAATCAGCTCTCAGCTATTAGACTTCTAATCTGTGATCACACAACCAAGCTGGTTAAATAAGTTTACTTGTAATAAAACCTTATTTGCAATTCTGTAATTTGCTCCCATCCTGGGTAAACAGGGACAGCCATTGCAGCAGCTGTGAAGGGAGGTGGATTTTGCTTATTTGGGGGTGTACCTTCCCGTTAGACCAGCTCACCCAGAATTGGTTCCTGCCTTACTGAATAAATCTAGATGGTAGCACATGCTCTTGGGGTTGCTTTTTCCCTTCCACTCACTCTCAGGGTCTTGAAATTCAATCTACCTGGCCACCACCTCATTGGTACCTGTTTCTATTTTCTGAAGCACTGCTGCCTCTTAGCCAGGTCTAAGCTGGCCTTCTTTGACTCCTGATACTGGCATGCACGCACACTGCTGGTTTCTACTGTGTAAACATCTTTGCTTTAGTTCCTCACACTGTTAAGTAACCCATAGCACTTCTTTGTGCTTTTTGACAGCAGCACTATTTGACAACTTGAATCTCATTAAGTTCACCACACCGTGTGTGGGGGGTGGGGGAGGTGAGCACGTGTGCGTGAAAGCACATAAAATACACTTCAGCAATTACAACAGAACTCCCAAATCACATATTACTGAGTAGTGTATATGCAACTAGATAGGCCCCTGTTTCCTAAATTTGCTTGTAGAATCTCATGAAACACTTGGTAAAAAACACATCCCCAGGTCTAGCCCTGTGGATATGTATTATTCTGGATATATAATTTAACAAACACCTCAGGTAATCCTTCTCATCAGGCAAATTTAGAAACACTAGATCCTTAACCTGCATCCTCAGAGCCTCCAGGACACTGGGAAGTTCAGCTGGGACCCATGGGAGACTGGTAAGTCTGGTAGCACAGGGTTCATTCCATTAGGGTAGGAAATTCCTGGCGTCATCTGTAAGTTGGAATAAACATTGAAAAGTCTTTAGAGCTTGAGGCCAAAGCAGAAACTTAGGATCTATTTACCATTTCTACACCAAGAATGGTTCCAAACATATACCCATTGGCTATAGATTCTATCCCAAATTTTGGGTTTCCAGAAGTGTTAGCTGGGAGTCATATAGTTCTTTGAAAGAAGTAACAACTGGATCCTCTGAGGACTGAATGCTTTGCATATGTGCTAAAATCATTTGGGGTGCCTTTTATTAGGTAAGATTCTGTTTTCACTTATATCAGCTCAACACCAGATCTATGTCAGGTAACTGCTCTTGTAGTGCTAGCTATGTCCTTCTGGAGGCTTGAGGGAGGAGCACAGAACTCTGATACATATGCCTCAACTCATGACAAGTCTTTGGCTTCTTGTGTCAACTGTACATAAGAGATAGAAGCATTCCTCTCTCAATCTAAGGACACAGGGAGACCCAACATGTATGAGAATTCTAAGAGAAGCTCACTAGAGCTGGTGAATCTTGACCCCACCACAGACACTATTTATTCACATGAGACCACAATTTCCATTTCTCTTACAATCCTGGGCCCATTTAAGAATTTGCCTAAAACTGATGAAGAATACTCAAATAGTGGCCCATGAGAAAGTTAAAACTGAGGGGGAAACAAAATTATGAGGGGAAAATGTCTCCACAGACCTGAAAAATACATTTTTGCCCTTTAAAAACTTATTTCTCTTTAAGAGAATTTTAACATAAAGGAAAGTGATGTTACTGATGTTTATTTGGTAAATAAGCTACATATTTAAGCATTTTTTCCCCTAATGGCTTTAGGAAAGATCTCCTTCCTAAAAAAAAAATGTTTACAGGTAAACCTTTAAAGGGTATGACAGTAAAGTGATGTAGAATTCAGTGCACACTGACAGTTTTTCCAGTTCCATTCATAATTAAAGTAAAAAAAAAAAAACCTCTTGAGTATTTTTTATGAAAAAAATATTGAATTTCAAAACCCCTGAAGTTACTATTGAAAGCTTATATTCCTTAAACGTATATATGTACATATATATGTATATATTTGAACCACTCAGAGAAATTATATATGAACCACTCAAAATAACTTTAAGAGCTGTTCTTTTCTGTATTTAAAATTGTCCTTTCAAATATTTAGAAGTTCCACAGGTGGTGGCTTTAATGGAATTTTTCCCAGAGTAAATTTCTTGGATTGAAACTGCTCCAGTTCTTCTGCTGTTAGTTGATCCTTGGGTGTGAATAACACATTATCTGTTGTGATGCTGCCATTTGAGACTGGTAAAGAGGTGGATATGCTGCTATTTCCAAAGGTGTCACTGGATGACTTGGAAAAAGCACTGTGAGAATGTGAGCCTAGATTACCAAAACCAGCCACAGAATTGCCACTTCCAAAGGCTGGGGCTCCAACAGAGCCTGCTGCCATGGGAGCTGGAAATCCTGAAAATCCAGGTGATCCAAAACCGGAAGCTGCAGGACTTTTAAAAGAAAATGAAGCAGCAGATGTGATTGCAGGTTTCCCAAATCCAAATGTTGGAGTGGAAGTAGTGATGACAGAACTGGCAGGGGGTGCGGCTCCAAACGCTGGAGTATTCCCAAACACAGAAGGACTTCCAGAAGCGGCAGAGGCAAATCCAGAGCTTGGTTTAAAACTAAAATTCTGAGCATTAGCACTGCTGCTGTTATGCACTGGAAAACCTACAAAAACCAGAAAAAGGAAAAAATAACCTATGATAAGTCAGAAAATGTAACCATATTAACCACCCCTCCTTTTTTTCTTATTTCTGCCATGTTTGAATGTTGAGAAGCTTTATTGGAAAAAGTGAAAAGAAGAAGCTAGAACAAACCCATTAAAACCCTGTCGTCCTGTCTTTCTGCTGTACTGATCTCATTTGTACCACGATTATCCACACTCATGGAAACAGCTTTGAGAAACCTCTGGGATTAGGAGGTGGACTTTCGCTTTCTGTGCTTGTGTGCCCCAAGTAAATCAGCTATATCCATTATCAAAGAAGTAACTCTTTCCTTAGCTATATTCTTTTATTTAAAAATTTTTTAATTTAAAAAGATATTTACTTTGGGGAGGGGGGACAGAGAAAGAGACAGAGAGACAGAGATGGAGAGAGAGAATCCCAAGCAGGCCCCATGCTGTCAGTGCAGAGACAAACGCAGGATGTGATCTCACCAACCGCAAGATCACGACCTGAGCCAAAACCAAGAGTCAGATGCTTAACAGACTGAGTCACCCAGGCGCGCCAGCTATATTCTTTTAAGCAAATACAGAGTGGTCACTTCATCTCAGTTTTCTCCTGTATAGATTCTCAAGCCCCTTCCAGCTCTCAACTAAGATGAATATGATGAAATCATACTCTAATAATCGACATCTCTAGTTTTTGCCTAAATTTTTCCTGAGTTGCCATTTTTTGCATACTTTTTATGACAGTTGAAACCCTCAGTCCTAATTTGCATTTTTATTTGTCTCTAAGAACCATTGTTCACCTGTGTCCTAACTTAAAAAATTTGTCCTTTAAACTAAAAAAAACCCCAAAACAAAAAGTGACACAGTATTGCCACGTGAGACAATACTATGCTGTTATACACAGTGAAAAGAAGGTCCTCAATTGTGGTGCTGCTACAACAGTTACTATGTATTCCTATAAAACTTTTGAAAAAACTCCTAAAATACACTTTGAAAGCTTGAGCCATAGGGTCTTTCAAAAAACATGCTCCATCTGACCTCCATTTCACAAATGACTGATGAGCCAAATTCCTTGAAACTCCATTATGGAAGACAGTAGAATCTGCAATGCAATGGTAATTTAATGTCCCTTAACACACCTTCAGACTTTATGATCTGAAACCTCTAAAATCCTGTTTCCAAAATGGATAAAGTCTTGCATCACTTTATCATTTACCTGGTGGCCCAAATGTTATTCCTTGCATACTGCCAAATCCAAATGTAGCTGCTGCTTGATTCACTCCACCCTTTACATCTGAGAGCTGTAAAAAAAAAAAAAAAAAAAAAAAAAAAGCAGGCAAATAATAAATTAGTTGATGAATAATTCTCAATTCACAGCCAAATTAAATTTTAAAAATGTGCACTTACCAGGCGCATGGGTGGCTCAGTTGGTTGAGCATCCGACTTCAGCTCAGGTCATGATCTCATGTTCTGTGAGTTTGAGCACCGCATTGGGTTCTGTGTGAACAGCTAGCTCAGAGCCTGGAGCCTGCTTGGGCCTGTGTTTCCCTCTCTCTCTGCGCACCGCCCCCCCCAACTCTCTCTCAAAAATGAATAAACGTTAAAAAAATTTTTTTAAATGTGCACTTAAAAATGTTTACCATAGAAAAATGCCCACAATATGAATACGCATAGGAAAAAATGGACTAATTTCAATGAGTTAAGAGCAACTCATGAATTATGAGTGATGAATTATGGGTGATTTTAATTTTACTTATGCTTCTAAAATACTTTCTAAATTTCTTCAATGAATTTATATTAAAATCAGAAAAAAAAATTTAATAATACATTTTAATGACCAGGTTGATTATCAAAAAATCTAGACTTCAGGCAAAGGGCCTTTGGAGGCTACCTAGTCTACTTATTCTGATGCCTGAACTGAATTGATTCACAATTACATAATTAAAAACTTACTACTAAAATCTATTGAACATTTCCTATTCCTTGAAAATACTTTATGTTCTTACTATTTTCTACTCTAGAAATGTCTTTCATCTCTGCATAGTGAAATCTCAATCTCCCTTTCTTTTATTTTATTTTTAAGTTTTATTTATTTAAGTGATCTCTACACCCAACACCCAATGTAGGTTCAAACCCATGACCCTGAGATCAAGAGTCGGATGCTCTACTGACTGAACCAGCCAGGCACTCCTTTAAAATCCCTTTCAAGGAACTTTTCCCTTACTCCTTACCTCCAAAAAGTTTTTCCTAACTAACTCAAACAGATATAATTTCTCTTATTTGGAAGCCTCAATAGCATTTTCTAAAAATCAATTTCATTGAGGTATAGTTTATACGCAATAAAATGCATCCATCGTATATATGTATTTCAGTGGGTTTTGACAAACTTCTAGTCACCACCACAATCAAGATTTAGAACATTTCCATCACCTCTAAAAGTTCCCTTGTGTTTTTTTCAGTCAACTCTCTCCCAAATGCTAGGTACAGGGAAGAACTCATCTCCTATCACTATAGATGAGGTTTGTTTTCTTTAGTGTTTCATATAAACGGAATCACATAGTATGTACTTTTTTTTTTTTTTTTTTTTTTTGGTCCAGCTTCTCTCCTTCAGTGTAATATTCATTAACAGGTAAACAGATAAACATATATTCATACACTGGATTAAAAGAATAAAGAATGAACTACTCATATATGCTAAGCCCACTGTGGGTGGGGCTGTCCAAGATCTTAACCTATGGAGGGGCACCTAGAAAAGTGGCAAAGAGCAAGGAACGTCTAACCCTGAGGGTAGTTGTGTAGTTCTTTGGACTCAGTTATCCCCTTTACATCAGTAATGGTGATGGTGGGCTACCTCTCATGTACGGACAGAATCCTTCAAGAAGTCCTACTAAACTTAAATGGCATTATAACAACTAAAGGATGGAGAAATTAGCTTACACAAGAGTCTGTTTAGGAAGTACATATTTAAGAAAGGTGTGGAGCACTGCAACTGTCACACAGTCATTTACTAAGTTAGGCAGTGACAACCATCATATCCTTTTTAGAAGGTAGAAATACAAATCGTCTGGGAAACTCTAAATATCTTATTTCAAAATAAGGTCCTTAAGAAGTTTTAATGGGAATAGAAACATCATAACTTTATTGACCAAGATAATGAATATGCTATAGTCAGGATCATGTATCTTTGGAGACAAGTGGGTATACATCTACTAAAGGCATTTCTATATAGGTCAGGGAATAGATGGTGAGTGTTTTCCAGTCACAAAAGCAAACAGTAGTCTAAAAGTGTATTCAGATCATTTTTCAAAGCAATTTCTTTGTAAATGCTAATAACCTGGTATATTTGAATTTATGTAACATTTTCAAAACTAGACTACTTAAGTCAAAAACTTTACCCTAAGGAAAGCAAAGTTACCTGTACTTTTCTGACTGAGGAACAGAGAGAAAGCAATTCCAGGACTGTGATTTTAAATGATACAATCCTGAGAATGTGTATCATAATTCTTGACAGAGAACTTTAGCTTTGCTTTCTAAATCCGAAGTGAAATTCTCTGCAAAAAAAGTAATAGATAAGACACTTCCCTGTAGAAAACTCTCCCAATACTCACCGAAGCTATGTTAGCCGATGTATTTAGATTTTTCAGTTCATTTACTCTGTTTCTCCACTGATTTATTAACTGTTGGAGGGAATTTAGCTAAAGAGAGAAGACAGAAAAATAATCAGTCAATTCTGAGTGTTTAGTCTCTCTAACTTCATGTCTTTATTTGCTAAAATCACAAGTTTAGAAAACATTTTTATGGCCCATTACTCGTACAATTTGCCCAAGATGTTCCAGCTATAGTTCCCTCCCTGTTCTCCAAAACCTTGTGTCACCTGGTTTAGAATTTCAAGTACTGTGGCAGCACAGAGGTAGTTATATCTGGATGGGAACAAACATGTATACTAGTTGAAATGCATGATCATGACCGTAGACAACACAAAAATACACTTTATGTCATTTCTTTTAAGCACTAACTTATTGAAGTCCAGCTTTTTTATTTTTTGATATCTCATATGTGAGAATGTTAATCCGTACCACAGACTGTGTCTTATTTCACTGCTTTTCTAGAATTCATCATGGTGTCTGTACCTAATAGATGCTCCATAAGTGTCAAATGATGAAAGGCTCTGACTTCTATGACTGATCACTGGATAATTTGCAAGAAAAATAGTGACATTCCTAGTTATATAGTCAAAATATATTATTACCATTTTAGATAACCAACCAATTTCAAAGAAAGTAATTTAGAAAATAAAAATAGCCTTGTCTTGAGAAAAATTATTAGACCTCATCCACTTTGCCAATGTACAAGCAAGCCACTACAAACAGAGAAGACTATAATTAACAGCTAATCTGGTATTAAGGTAGATGAATAGGAAACAAACTTACATAACTCTGTAAATTATTGCTGGTTAAGTAGTTATGGTATTCAAGCCTCAATTCCTCTGGTGAAATGTCTGTAAAACCTGAAGTGAGGAATCAATTGGAATCTTTAAAATAAATACCAGTACTTTTGATAGTATAGTAAAGCTAGAAGTCCTAGACAAGAATATATGCTAATGTTGATCATAAGAAAATTTTCATAATCATAAGGAAAAATTTCAAAGCCGATATGTTTAATAAAGTATAAGATTAAAATAAAATATAGTTGTATATTTGATCTTTAAAGGGGGAAATTTTCTAAAGATAAATGGAATGTAAGGAATAATACAAGAGTTAACTACATATACATTCAAATTTCTGTCTAAAATAATATTCTGTATGCCAGAAACTATAATAAGCAAAATTAAAAGGCAAATGGAAAACAGTAACTTTAACATATATGACAGGAAAAGAGCTAATGTCAATGTGTAAATAGCACTTACAAATCCATAGGACAAACAAATAGGAGCAAACATAAGAAACAGGCAATTCACAAAAAAATTCAAATAGCCAGTAAGTAAGTGAAATAAAAAAGTTCAGTTTAGGGGCACCTGGGGGGCTCAGTCAGTTGAGCATCCAACTCTTGGTTTCTGCTCAGGTCATGATCTCAATTGATAAGTTTGGGCCCCACATAGGGCTCTGTGCTAACAGTGTGGAGCCAGCCTGCTTGGGATTCTCTCTCTCCCTCTCTCTGCCCTTCCCTGACTTGCTCTCTTTGTCCCTCTCTCAAAATAAATGACTAACTTAAAAAAAAATTTCTTTAAAAAAAAAGTTCAATTTAAAAATACAACTTAAAATATAGATAAGATACTTTACTTAATGGCAAAAATTAAAAATGGATGGTATTTATTGTTAGTAAGGGTGTGGTAAAATTGACATTCTCCTAAATTGCCTTTAAGGGAACCAGAAAGGCACTTTTCTAGGAGGACAATTGTCAGTACGTGTCAAATGCCTTAAATATGTTTGTACCTTCTGTCCTTAATAGAATTTCTAGGATTTAACCTCAGAAAATAATCAGACCTATAATCAAAGAGTTTTATGTATGAAGGTGTTCATTCTAGTATTTTTAGTAATAAAGACAAACTGAAAACAACAAAGTAGAATACAAAACTAGATTATGGTCCTAATTATATATATATACAAACAGGAAATATGGTTGTGTGTGCATATTTTGAAAGGAATAATCTGAAATATTATAGTTATCTTTGTGACACCAGGTGATCTTTATTTATGGATTTCTGTGTTTTTCAAGTTTTCTATGGCAACAGCTGTAAATTTATAATTAGGAAACTTTTTAAGAAAGGAAAAACAACATTCAGGATATTTCCTACAGAGAATTACTTGTAACCCTGATATCATTAACTCCATGGACTTCTACACCCCAGAATAAAGAAAAGACTAAATGTTCAAATTAGAACCTTGGATTCCCTCTAACAACTTGTCGTTATACCATCTTTAATAACTGTTCAGGCCAAAAAACCTAGGAATCTCCTTGTATTTATCTCTTTCCCCACATCTAATTAATCAGCATCCTGCCAGTTCTAATTCCAAAACGCACTACGAATTTGACCAATTCTGTCTCCACTGCTAGTGATTCTAACCCAGTCAGTCACCAGCATTTGTCTCCTAACTCATCTCCTTGCCACTATTTTAGTTTTCACCCCACAGCACTCCCTACAGACCACTTCTTTCATACAACAGTCCGACTGAGTTTTTTCTAATCAGATCATGTCCTTCTGCTTAAAGCTCCACATGGCTGTCCTGTACAGTTAGTCCAACATGATCTGGCTCTTGGCTGACTCTATGGCCTTATGTCCTATTACTCTTTCTCTCATTCACTCTCCTCCAGGGGTTCTGGCCTCACTTGTCTTCAGACTTGCCAATCTTGTTCCTACAAGGGTCTATGCACTAGCTATTCCTACTGCCAGGAATGCTTTCCCCAAATCTTCCCATAAGAGACACCTTCTTCTCACTTAGGACTCCGCTCCAATCCTGCTTTGTAAGAATGGATAACTTACTCTAAAGAAAAACTGTCCCTCCAGTACTTTATCCTCCTTCCAGCTGTTCCTCATCTGAACCACAGAACACAGAAAATTATCTGAGTGACTATTTTCACAGTTATCCCAAGGGGGTAAAAAAGCAGTATCATTTTAGATGCATAGAGAGTTAATTCATTACAACTGATGTCTAAGAACAGTTCTCCAACTTTTTGGTCTCAAAACCCATTTATATTCTTAAAAATCATTAACAATGCCAAAGAACTTTTGCTTATATAGGTTATAATATACATATTTACCATATTTAAAATGAAAAATAAGAAATAATAGAACATACTTATTAATTCACATAAAAATAAGAAACCAATTACACATCAACATAAATGAAAAAACTATTTTTCAAGCAAAAAATAAACATTTAGTGAGATGAGTGGCACTGTTTTATGTTTGTAAATGTTTTTTTGCATACTTTAATGTAAAAATATTTTATTGCTAAAAAATGCTAACCCTCTTCTGAGCTTTCAGTGAGTCATCATCTCTTTGCTGATGGAGGGACTGTTTGTACATTTTTTTAATGTTTGGTTTTAAGAGAAGACTGCTGGATTATTATATCTACTTCTACATTCAGTCTGTTGCAATATACTACCTGGCTGAAGTGTATGAAGAAAATCTGTTCTAACACAGATAGGGAGTTGGGAAGGAGGACTTTAATAATCTTTTCAGGTAATTGTGGTGTTAGGTTCTTACAAATTTAGCTATAAATTTAAGCCTTAATATTAATTAACTTTTTGTATTATTATATTAAATCCAGTGGTTTATCTTGTGCTTAGAATGAATTTTTCAGCCATGCATGTTTTTATAACATGGTACATTGTCATTTAGAAACTACTGGTTCATTGAGTCATCTAGAACTTTCAAATATTGCCACATGCCATTTTACAATATCAAAAAACTCTTATTTGTTAATGTCACTGTCCATCTCATCAGAAGAGACTTAAAGAGATAGTTAAGTCATCAAGCTGACAGTGGCAGAAAACAGTTTTCCATAATTCTAATTCTCACATGAAAGTTGAATTTTGTCACTGGCAATAAACAGTTGTTTTCTTTGAAGCAACAAACTCACTCCATTTGTTTTTTTAGAAAATGCTGCCAAATTCCTAAGTCTAGATAACCATAGCTGTCATTCTTTCAAGTAAAAACGGTCTATGGAAAAAGTGGCTGGTTCAGCTCACAACTCAAAGGATCACTCGTGTCTTCCCTCAAGGAAGATAACCATCATCTGAGTACGTGGCAGAAGCATTTCATGTGTGCTTCTCATTTTGTCACACAGATTAAAAAAAGTGTGCATACAGGACACCTGGGTGGCTCAGTCAGTTGAGCATCTGACTTTTGATTTCAGCTCAGGTCATGATCCCAGAGTCATGGGATGGAGCCCCGCATGCTGCTCAGTGCTGAGTGTGGAGTCTGCTTGATTTGTTCTCTCTCTGTCTCTGTCTCTCTCTCTCTCTAAAAAATAGCGTGGGGTGCCTGGGTGGCTCAGTTGGTTAAGTGACTGACTTCGGCTCAGGTCATGATCTTGCAGTTCATGAGCTTAAGCCCCACGTTGGGTTCTGTGCTCACAGCTCGGAGCCTGGAGCCTGCTTCAGATTCTGTGTCTCCCCCTCTGTCTCTGCCCCTGCCCCGCTCACATTCTGTCTCTCTCTCTCTCTCTCTCAAAATAAACATTAAAAAAAAAAATTTTTTTAAGGTGTACACTCAAGGGTCGTGATTAATAAAATCAGTATTTTTACCTCTTCATCAAAAACTTTACGTGAAAATGGCATTAAGAAGTTTTTTTTATTGGGGTGCCTGGTTGGCTTGGTCAGAAGAGCATGTGACTTTTGACCTCAGGGTCCGGAGTTCAAGTCCCATGTTAGGTGTAGAGATTACTTATAAAAATTAAAAAAAAAATTTTTTTTTATTGACTACTGTAGTCTGCTAGTACAGTTATGTTGCCTCTGCCTTGATTCATGCTAAGATACAAGCAGTTTGACCCATCAATGCTTTTGCACCAACAGTGCAAATGTCAACAGAGTGAAATGGCAATTAATGTCTTGGTATTATTATGAAAATATTTTTGAATTTGTAGAGCCTTTCGAAAATTTTTTAAAATTTATTTTTATTTTTTTTAAAAGTTTATTTTTGAGAGAGAGAGAGAGAGTGCAGGGAAGGGGCAGAGAGAGAGAGAGAGCGCGAGGGAGGATCTGAAGTGGGCTCCATGCTGACACAGAGAGCCTAATGCGGGGCTTGAACTCACATACCTTGAGATCATGACCTGAGCCAAAGTCGGACGCTTAACCGACTGAGCCACCCATGCGCTCCTGTAGAGGCTTTTTAAAAAAGTTTGACAGAAAGCATGTGTGTGCACACTCAAGTACAAGTGAGAAGGGGAGGGCAGGGGGAGAAGGAGAGAGAGAATCTCAAGCAGGCTCTATGCTGTCAGCACAGAGCCCACTTTGGGGCTGGATCTCACAAACTGTGAGATCATAACCTGAGCCCAAATCAACAGTTGGACGCTCAACTGACTGAGCCACCTAGGCACCCCAAATTTGTACAACCTTTAAAAGGGTCTCAGGAATAGGGCTGCCAGATTTAGCAAATAATACAGGATGCCCAGGGGTGTCTGGGTGGCTCAGTTGATTGTTTGACTTCGGCTCAGGTCATGATCTCACAGTTCGAGAGTTCAAAGCCTGCACTGGGCTCCCTGCTGTCAATGCAGAGTCCACTTCAGATCCTCTGTCCTCACCACCCCACCTCTCCCCTGTACACAAGCACTCTCTCTCTCTCTCTCTCAAAATAAACATTAAAAAAAATGCAGGATGCCCAGTTAAATCTCAATGTCAGATATATAACAAATACTTTTTTAGTATAAGTATGTCCTAAATATTACATGGGATTTCATATACTAAAAATATTTTTTGTTTCCCTAAATAAAAAAGAATTTAAATTTAACCGAGTGTCCCGTATTTTATCTGGCAATCCTACGTAGGAATCTATATTCCACAGTTTGAGAACCATTGCTTTAGGGCATTAGACATTAGGTTTAATTCCAAACTGATTAAAAAAGGTTCAGTACTTCTTTATTTTCTTTATAGAAAACACTATCTAAAACTATCTAATTTATTTGTATTATTTACTGTCTCCCTCCCTCAAGAACATAAGCTTTGTAAGCATGGGAGCTTGTCTATCCTGCTCATCACTATATTCTTAGAACTTAGAATAGGGCCTGGCACAAAGGAAATTCAGTAAATATTTTGTTGAACAGCTGAGTGAATAAATAACTAAGGACTGGTGTGACAAATGCTCAGAGGGAATAAGCAGGCAGAGCTGAGACAGAGTAGGGATCCCAGAGTTCTGAGGGATTGCAGGGGCTCTCATCTGTGAGGTACTTGCTATTTACTCAACAGCACAGAGGGCCCAGGACCACCCAAAATAGGATTAGAAAAGCGTGGTGCTCTAGGTTTGAGTTCAGAAAGGGCTTAGGGACTACGCACAAAAGAAAACAGGGAGGAAAAAGGGTATTCTAAAGAAATGCTATCCCTGTAGCCAAGCTAAAGCTCTTTACCTTCACATGCTATCTCCAGAATAGGTCTCAACATGCTTTACAAAACATAACTATCTTTGGAAGGAAATACAGGGAAGGGAGAAGAGAATCAGGCAGCCAAGGCCTTAATGACAAAAAGGATGTGAATCTTCTTAAAAATTTTTTTTTCAACGTTTTTATTTATTTTTGGGACAGAGAGAGACAGAGCATGAATGGGGGAGGGGCAGAGAGAGAGGGAGACACAGAATCGGAAACAGGCTCCAGGCTCCGAGCCATCAGCCCAGAGCCTGACGCGGGGCTCGAACTCACGGACCGCGAGATCGTGACCTGGCTGAAGTCGGACGCTTAACCAACTGCACCACCCAGGCGCCCCATGGATGTGAATCTTCTATTCACTGTTAGCAGCTAAGAGTTTTGAAAGTTGTACCTATAGGGAACCAAGAAGGCAGAGACTCTTTGGGGGCTTACAGAATTGGAATTGGGGTGGGTCCTGATTTCACTATTTTCCCATGAGAACTACATACTTTAAAAAAACTGTATCTTAATTTTTTTTAATGTTTATTTATTTTTGACAGAAAGATACAGAGCATGAGCGGGGGAGGGGCAGAGAGAGAGGGAGACAAAGAATCCGAAGCAGGTTCCAGGCTCTGAGCTGTCAGCACAGACCCCCACGCGGGGCTCCAACTCACAGACCACGAGATCATGACCGGTCATGATCATGACCGGATGCTCAACCAACTGAGCCACCCAGGCGCCCCCTCAAAAAACTGTATCTTCTAATCTCTATCTCTGAATTATGAAGTTCCGCCAGAAAAACGGAATACTTTAAACAATGTCTAAACTCTCCTAACTGTAGCTAAGTTTGAGATTAGTTTATTAAGCATGACCTTCGTTTTAGAAACTAAGAGTTATAAAACACAATTTATAAACATACAATTTCTCAATTACCTGAAATATTAGGCTTCTTTTTCACTGGCGAATAAACAGAAAACATCCACTGCCCTGATGATTCCCAAACTTCCATATCTTTTATAATTCCTTCTCTGGAAAAAAAAGAGAAAAGGAACTTTTTAATCTGCTTGTTAAAATTTATTGTTTATAATTTTCAATGACTCAAATTTTAAATTATAGTAAACATATAATTTCAGATTTTTTCAATTGTATTTTCTGAAGAGTATTCTTTAAAGCAGAATTTATAGAATAAGAACTATATTTCATGATTTTAAATACTGTAATATTGGGGTGCCTGGGTGGCTCAGTTGGTTGAACATCTGACCCTTGGTTTGGGTCAGGTCATTATCCCAGGGTTGTGGGATTGAGCTGTGTTGGACTCCACACTGAGTGGGGAGCCTGCTTGGGATCCTCTATCTCTGTCTCTTCACCTCCCTGTACCCCTCTCCTTTGCTCGAGCGCTCTTTAAAATAAAAAAAATTAGGGGCGCCTGGGTGGATCAGTCAGTGAAAGGTCTGACTGCAGCTCAGGCTATGATCTTGTGGTTCTTGGGTTCAAGCCCTGCATCGGGCTCTGTGCTGACAGCTCAGAGCCTGGAGCCTGCTTTAGATTTTGTGACTCCCTCTCTCTCTGCCCCTCCCCACTCATACTCTGTCTCTCTCTCTCTCTCTCTCTCAAAAATGAATAAACATTAAAAATGAAAATAGGGGGCACCTGCATGGCTCAGTCAGTTAAGCAGCCAACTTCAGCTCAGGTCATGATCTCATGGCTCGTGAGCTTAAGCCCTGCGTTGGCCTCTGTGCTGGCAACTCAGAGCCGGGAGCCTGCTCAGATTGTGTCTGCCTCTCTCCCTGCCCCTCTCCTGCTCAAACTCTGTGTCTCTCTCTCAACAATAAATAAATATTAAAAAATAATTTTAAAAAATTAAAACAAAAAAATATAATACCAAAAAAGTTTATAGTTTTGGTTTTCTAGTAAGCTGAACCATTAACCAATACATTTATTAAGTGAGAACTATCCAACTATACATATTTAAAGAACTAAAATACAATAAGATATACAATACTAACTTTAATCTTTCTTTGTTATCATAAACATCAACGGCCATTTAACTGGAAAAAGACACAAAGCACCATATGAGTAATACAGAACCATGACATTTTAATTTTATGTATGTATGTATGTATTTGAAGTTTATTTATTTATTTTGAAAGAGAGAGAATGAGCACAGGACGGGCAGAAACTCTGAGAGGGAAAGATAGAATCCCAAATAGGCTCTGTGCCATCAGTGAGGAGCCGATGTAGGGCTCAAACTCACGAACTGTTAGATTATGACCTGACCTCAAACCTAGAGTCAGACACTTAACTGACCAAGGCATTCAGATATCCCTTTATTTAATTTGTTAAAAAAAAAATTTTTTTTTTAAGTAAGCTTCAAGCCTAGCGGGGAGCCCAATGCAGGGCTTGAACTCACTACCCTGAGATCAAGACCTGAACTGGGATCAAATCAGACACTTTAGCCACGTAAAGCCAGCCAGGCACCCAGAACCTTAAACTTTTTAAAGTGGGCAGGATTTGGGGCGCCTGGGTGGCTCAGTCGGTTAAGCGGCCAACTTCGGCTCAGGTCATGATCTCGCGGTCCGTGAGTTCGAACCCTGCGGCGGGCTCTGCTGACAGCTCGGAGCCTGGAGACTGTTTTGGATTCTGTGTCTCCCTTTCTCTGACCCTCCCCCGTTCATGCTCTCTGTCTCAAAAATAAATAAATGTTTAAAAAAATTAAAAAAAAATAATAAAGTGGGCAGGATTTTAGAGACCATTTTGTTTAATTCTCATATTTTGCAGAACGGAAAACAGACCCATGTGCATATAGTTATTTTACTGGCAAAGGTGTGGACAGATTTGACTCTAAATGTTTCCCTCCACTATCCAAAAAGCTACAATTAATAAAATTTTAGCTATCACAGAATTTTAAATTATTTTTAAATTATTTTACAACATCAAATATAGGAAGGAAGGCTTTGTTTGCTCTTTTACCTTTAAAAAATCAATTGTATGTAGTACATGGCTCAAAAGGTTTACCACTTGTTCTAATTTATTATGGGAAATAAAAGACTAACAAGTATATTTAAGTTCTGTCCTCAAGTGGGGAGCTGAGGCAACAGTTACAGAGAGTCAGGGAATATATTGGCACCAGTCATACATTCTACCATGATCAAGAAATCATAAGGAATATACTCCACAGTAATGAAGGAAATCAAATGAAATCAGTTTCAATGGGGTAGGTGAAATAAAAATTTTAGAAAGAAAAATGCCAGATGTTGTAAGTACCACCAAGATTACAAATAGCTTAAATTACCTCATACTTTGCAAAGACCTCATAATTTGCAATAAATTTAAACAGAACTACTTTAGAAAGATATTCACAATATAGTGTTAGCCATAGAAAAGTGGGGGAAAAAAATTAGCCCTGAGAGTCACTGTACTGGTATGGTAAGGTGACCAATATTTTTTTTAATTTTTACTTTAGAGAGAGAGTGTGTGTAAGTCAGGGAAAGGGAGAGAGGGAGAGGGAGAGGGAGAGGGAGAGGGAGAGGGAGAGGGAGAGAGAGAGAGAGAGAGAGAGAGAATCTCAAGCAGGCTCAACAGCGTAGAGCCTGATGTGGGGCTCAGTCCCATGACCCTGGGATCATGACCTGAGCTGAAATCCAGTTGGATGATCAACTGACTGAGCCACCCAGGTGCCCCAAGGTAGTACATTTTTAAGTGAAATAAAGTCTACTGTAACATATGCAAAATAGTTATCTCTGAGTGATAGGATCATGGGTGCTTTTTCTTCTTTTTGCTTATTCTGATTTTTTAATAATGTATTACTTCTTTTTTAAAGAAAATATTATAGGTACTTTTGAAAAAAATAAGCAAATGGGTAGCTTTTCTGAAGGCTTCCACTCACAGAAGTTTCTTTTCATCTTTCTGCTCATCAGAGCTGGGTGAAGCAAATGGATTCTGGGATAGTCCAAACTCCCTGTTCCTGCTATTTGAAGCTCCAGAATCCAAAGAACTGAAAGATGGCTTTTCTTGATCTCTGCTGCCCCCCCATGGTGTGGATTTGGAGAAGCTGGATGGCTGGATAACACTCGAGTACCTCTGGCTGGAGGGATTCCATCCACGTCTGTTACTACCTGAAAACAAACAAAACAATTTTATTGGCAACTCCTTTTTTAAAACTCTAAAAATTTAATTACATTTTGTCTTATTATGTGCAGACATTATGCAAAGATTTAAGAAGCACATTTCCACTCATTTTAAATCACAAAATCCTTCATTTTTGATTTATATATTTACTTGTAACCAACACATCATGTAATGGTCTAGTGGCATTTTTTGTTTGTTTGCTTAAAAAGGTTGAGAGGCCTGTAAATCCACAGAAAAATAATGATATATTATTAAGTTAAGATGATATAAGCTTATTAAATAAATAATTGCTTGATAATGGATTTAAGATCTATCTTAAATCATAAGCTCCTTCAGGATAAAAAGTTCTGTCTTTACCATTTTTTGCTCTCCTACTGGGCCCTTACACAGCAGTAAAGTCTGAAAAATGAACAATGTATTAAAGAGTTTGTTGAATATAAAAAATTAGATCCTACCCTCTGTCCTTGAATAGATGCTTAAATCTATTTGACTCCATCTTCCCTCTGGGAAAACACCATTACCCACCTCTCTTTCATAGGGAGATTATAATTTACATGTGAATAAAATGCATTGAGTTCTATTATGAGCAGATTCTAATATTTCATAATTATTGAAATGAGCCAAGAGGACTCTCTCCTCTCTCTGTATTTAAAAAAAATCTTCTCACTTAAAGTACCTCATTTACTCATCACTTCCTAGTGGGGGCCAAGATAATTCACCTTGTTTTTGACTGAATTAGGAGATATGCCATGAAATATATTAAAAACTGGAGTGATGGGAGATATATTCCTTCTTGAAAATTCATCTCCCATTTCTAAAACTACTTAATAAAACCAATGAGAAAAAGGAGCAGAATGCTGGGCCAGATTCCTCATGTAAGGGTTAATGGTATTTTATTTTTCTGAAGTTTCAAATCCTTTGGCGGATGACACCCTGAAGAAATTCATTCTTTCTTTTGTATATAGCTTTTGGGCTTCACTTATTAATTCTAGAAGCATTCCTTTCTGGGAACTAAATACACTGTTTACTTAATGAGTTTCATTTACACTTTCTTCAGCCATTAATCCATTCAACATTTATTTTTTAATTACTACATTTAGAGTGAGTCTTCAAAGAATGTCAAATATTAAGTGTTTTTTTTCTAGGAAATACACTCACATTTATCAAACCCCGAGTCATAATTTTTGGTTTGGAATATTCACTAGACTAATGGTGGGTGATGCAAAAGGACTGTCTCCAAGACGAGGAGGGATCAGACGTGAAACCACAATGCAACATGAAGAGTTGGATGAACAGTCCCACAAGAGGGAAGGGAAGGAAGAGTAGGAGAGGTGGTCAGCATCTTGTGACACTGTCAAGGGCTACTGTCAATCCTTAGAAAATAAAACCTAATTATTCATCTGAACTTTAAAACTTTGCATTGTAATATGGTTTCATTTTTGTTCCCTCCTCATCTTGAACACCATCCTTTCACATCATCCACGATTGGCTTAAATATTCCAAAAACTTTGACAATCACTAAGGCCCAGATAGTAGGTCAACGCGGTCCTCCACCCCCCTTCCCTCATAACTCACAGTTTTTAACTGGGCATCCCACCCTTCTAATTTTACCCCCAATGTTATGAACACGTACATTCACCTGGGGCATATACCTTTGTAGCTATTATTAGATTTTGAAAGGAGTTTGCAACTTCTCCAAAGTTAAGAATCCAGGCTCTGACCCCAGTTGCTAGCCTCTCTCTGGAAAAAAGTTTGGTAAAAATTATATTTAAGGTGACAAGAGAAAAAAAAAAAAGTACTCAGAAGGGTAGTAAAGCAAGGAGGCATCTGGGTCGACCTACACCAATTCTCCGGACCATTACCACCCACAGACAAGGTAGCTTTCCACGTACTCCCGACCTAAAAACTCATTGTTTCGCATTAGTAACAAAGGCCAAGTCCCTGTCTTCATCCCCTCAACAAAAAACAACCCAGGGACTAACAAGCTAATAAAAGCGTCGGAGAGAACCTGAACCCAGCCCGGTGGGCGGGGCTGAAGAGGGAACGACGCGAGCAACTCAGCGTCACCGGACTGGTGCATAGCGACGCAAAGCCTAGTGGCGGGCCTCACGCCTGACGCCCGTTCCCAACCGGACGAGCCCCGGGCCAGGCCTTCCCCTAGTCGGCTACCGGCGTAGAACCGGGGAGAACGTCACCTGAGGGTTGTTGCTGCCGTCCCCCGCCCGCACCCCCGGCGCCGGGATGTTCGTTCCAGCACCGGTCTCCAAAGCGGCACCGGCCTTGAAGGAAGAATTGACAAATGGTCATAGCGACGGCGTCGCCCACGGAACGGTCTTCAGGCAGCACCCTCAGCGGAAGGAGAGCCCAATGCAACCACAGGTCCCACCCCGCTACCGTGATGTCATCTTCTCGCGCCCCTTTCTCTCTTGTCCCGCCCTGGGATGAGAGGCGTGGGTTTTACCCAATAGGGTTTGAGAAGAACGGGGCGGCCCCCACTCACTGAGCTTGTCTTGGGAAAGCGGAATGTTTGGATGGTTAATGTGGAGAAAGAGGCGTGTTTGCGCGTGGTACTAGGCCTCCGACTTTAAGGGAGGCTTGAGGGTCGGACATGAGAAGAAAGCAGGTTAAGGAAACAGATCTTCAGCAAGGCCCTGGAGGACAGGGGTACTTGTAGTTTGAGAGACCGAGTCGTACTTTTCATTTCTGCTGTTGAGGAAGCAAAAATCTGCCCAGCCATTCATCAGGTGGGTAACACCTAAAGCCAGTTATAAGGTTAACAGGAAACTGGTTCCTTCAAGGACAGACAGCAACTGAAAAGTATCATAACAACTCCTATAAAAGGAGAAAGTTAGTTGTTTAAAGTCCACATAAACACCGCTATTTGAAATTGTTTCCTTAAGAATGAAACATCCCACTCTTCCTTGGAGGAGCGAAGACAGAGAAGTAGCATCGATTTCTACCCAGGTGTGGAACTTCAGGTTCCTGAAAAGAACAGTCCATATTTTTCTTAATTTTGTAGTTTCCAAGAAAACGACCCTACATCCACTTCTCAGTCCAGATTGGATGTTGATGCCTTTACACACAACTCTGCTTTGCTTTGAGCTTACCAAATTTTACCTAAAATCCATCTTCCCCACAAAATCCTACAACTGTCTTTTCCTTTGTATGGTGAGACACCCTACTCTCCCCCTGGTTCCCAGTCTGCTTGGTTGCAAGGAGGCAATGAATATGAATTTGTTGGAATATAGGTTTATCCCTGGTGGTTTAGGATGATTGGTCATAGTTCTTGCTCACATCTTTGGATTTTGAGTACAATGGAATCTACCAAAGCACTGGGAATAACTGGTACAACCTAGCTTATTTAAAGTAATCTCTAGGGGTGCCTGGGTGGCTCAGTGGGTTAGGCGTTGGACTTCGTCTCAGGTCATGATCTCAGTTTGTGAGTTGGAGCCCTGTGCTGGCCTCTGTGCTAACAGCCTAGAGCCTGGAACCTGCTTCAGATTCTGGGTCTCCTTCTATTTCTGCCCCCACTTGTGCTCTGTCTCTCAAAAATAAATAAATGTAAAAAAAAAAAACAAACAAACATTTTAAAGTAATCTCTGTGCCCAACGTGGGGCTCAAACTCACGACCCCAAGATCAAGTCACATGCCCTGCTGACTGACTGAGCCAGCCAGGCACCCTAACCTAGTTTATTAAAAAAAAAAAAAAAAATCTATTCAATTCACTTACTTTGAAACTTATTGAAGATTTACAAATACAGTATAAGAGACTATATTGCAGACTTGATGCTCCATCACCCAAATAGTTCCTGTATTTCCTACAAAAACATTCTCCCACATAACCACAGTGCAGTCACCAAAATCAAGACGTTAATATTTATGTACTACTGGGGCACCCGGGTGGCTCAGTCGTTTGAGTATCTAACTTCAGCTCAGGTTTGTGAGTTCGAGCTCCTCATGGGGCCTACTGCTGTCAGCACAGAGCCCGCTTTGGATCTTCTGTTCCCCTCTTTGCCCCTACCCTGCTCATGCGCGTGCAACCTCTCAAAAATAAACACATTTATATTTAAAAAAAAAAAAAGGATCCAGTTTAGAATCATTGTTGCCTTATTCATATTTCTTTAGTCGTCTTCATTCTGGAACATTTCCTCAGTATTTGCTTGATTTTCAAGAGCATAACACTATTAAAGACCTTAACACTACTTCAAGACCTTGATAGCTAGTTATTTGGTAGAAGTTCCTCAATGCAGATTTATCTGATGTTTTCTCAGGATTGGATTCAGATTGAGCATCTCTGGTAGGATTATCACAGAAATGAAGCCATGGTCTTCACATTGTACCTCCCAGATTGTGCACAATTTCAATTTGTCTCACTGCCTCACTCTGATCACTTGATAAGGTGGTGTGTGCCAAGCTACTTCACTCTACAATGACTCTTTTCCTTTTGTTATTAGTAAGGACTTTGTGGGGAGATACTCTGAAAGTCTAAAAATGTCATTCCTCCTCAAGCTTTTTGGTTCATTCATTCATTTATTCCTATCAGTATGGCCTCATGATTTCCAGTTTTATTCAGTGGGTTATAATCTATTAGTCATTATTTTGAGGTTCATATCTTCCCCAATTTGGCCAGCGAGAGCCCTGTAAGCTCTTTTGTTTTTTGACACATCGCATGATTCTCTGAGCACTTTACTCCTTGGCCCAAAAGATTGCAAGGCTCATCTTATGCATTCCTTGATCCAGTCTTGGAATCAGCCATTTCTCCAAGGAATCTTGGGTCTTTTAATGGTACTTAGAAGCCATGATCTGAACTTTAAGTTTTCTGGTTGCTGTTGTGAGGTCTTTGCTCCCAAGCCCTTTCATGGGCATTGCTAGGAAATATGTACTATAGACAGACACACATTTACACCAACACATTATTTCTGTGTCTATGTGTATTAGAAACTGGGAGTTTACACTGATAACCTCCAATTCTATCCCAAGATCACAGGATTTATCTTGCTCCTGTATTTCTTACTCCCTCCTTTGATTGGGAGGAGGAACTTGGTTCCCACTGTTCACATTTGAGTAATCCCCTTGTATTAACCAGTTTCTCATTGTGGCCACTGACTTGTCTATGCAAACACCAACATATGTAAGGACTCTGCTGGGTTATCAAAGGCCTAAAATAATGTCAGTGGTGGCTGAAGCTGTGAGGGTGAGCATGGTGGTGTGTGAAGGTAGAGAGAGATGGGCAAGCCCAGATCCCAATGGAGATCATCTTGGTGGAGTGCTGTGTGAGACAATAGAGCGTAGGGCCAATGGATGCAGAATTCAGTAGTGATCAGTCAGGGAAGGGGAAGGTGGAAAAATCAGGAGTGGGGTCACAGGAAGGAAACTTCTGATTTCAACATGGCGGAGTGAAAATACTAATGCCCCCTCCCCTTTCCTCTTAAAAATCATCTCAAAATAAGAGGGAAAAGCAAAAACACCATCTTTCATTATACTAGGAGATAACCAAAATCTCAAACCACAATTTATGAGGACTGAATGCACATGGAAGAATATTCAATTACTTAGAAGATCAAATATCTATGGGGTGCACGCTGATGTCCCTAGAGAAGGCTGAAATGCCTCAGGAACTAAAAGCCTCTAGGTAACCAGAGAAGAGTAGACTGAAAGTCTGTAAGTGGTGAAGTTAGAATCTAGCTCCATAAATCCACCCAGTGAGGCAACTATTCGTACCTGATGGGAGATAGGTTTTTTTCTTGGGAAAAAAAAAAAAAAAAGGGGCGGGTGGGGTGACAGGGGTAACCAGAGAGGCCTCAGAATCCAGGACATCAACAACAAAGGGGAAATTATGGTACTGACAAAGCAACCTATGTTTATTGTCCCCTTTGCCTGAGCTCCAGAAATCCTGCAGCCAGGCTTACAGTCCCCTTTTTCCCCAACTGCCCTCCCCACCCAAGGTCCAGGAGTTTGGAAGTTTATTTTTTTTGAGAATCAAACATCTCAGAAAAGTATCTATGAATCTCCGATAGATCCCCAACAAAAATAAGTGGCCAATTCCTCATCATATGATGAATCTCACTGATAAGTTTTACTTTTTTATAATTGTTTTTACAAGTTTATTTATTTTGAGAGAGAATGGGGAGGGGGGGTGCAGAAGCAGAAAGAGGGGGACAGAGGATCCTGAAGCAGGCTTGGTACTGACAGCAAAGAGACCAACATGGGGCTTGAACTCATGAACTGTGAGATCATGACCTGAGCCAAGGTCAGATGCTTAACTGACTGAGCCACCCAGGTGCATCAAAGCTCACTGAAATTTAAGCCCACCTCTGTACACAAAAATTATTTTTAAATGTCTCATTTTAAATATAAATACACAGCCAGGGATCAGATATTTGTGTAAAGACTCCAACAGAAAAGAGCAAACAGAAAAAGAAGAGTAAACTGAATGACATCAAGGTGTATAGAAAACGTTAAAGAAACTAAAGTATCCCCAGAACAGAATACTATAGGAAAGAATATTTTTTTAAAAGTGTTCTTAGAAATTAAACATGGCTAGTGAAAACAAATTGAATAGAGGGTTGGAAGATAAAGTCAGAGAAATCCCGTACAAGAACTGACTAAACCAGATCCTGAACCCAATTACTGTTGTTATGAGAGGAGGCTTAAAGGTCTGGGAACTAAAAAGCTTTCTAGTTAGTAACATTTCAGACAATTTCCCAGCATAGACTTTAAAATTTTTATTTCTCCCAAAAATAGCCTTGCAAAGGAGGAAGTTAGGAAGGTGAAAATAAATTCAAACTTTTAAGTCTTTTGAGGCAAATGTAAGAGTGTTAAAGGATTTATCACATGATGAAAGATGCAGCCTGGAATTGTCTTTCATTTTACCAAATTATTGGGGCTTAATTTGGTGTCATGTTGGAATGGACTGAATTTTCTGACATTGTGGGTATATGTTAATGGCATCACCCTTAAAAAGCAAAATTTCCTCCAAATATTTCCCTTACCCTGGCCTATGCGGCAAATCTCAAATTTTTGCTGTTAACAGTATATAAGGCAAAAGGAACATAGACTGCTTGGTTAATATGTGTTTATTTAATGGCTTATTTTTGTGATTCAAAATTTCCTTTAAGATTGTAGGTCAGGAAAGCTAGGTCAAAATTGTAATTGAGTACTGTTTTTTTATAGCAGCATTTTTTGAAGACATTAAACTTTTTACGTTCAAGTTGTGATTTTTAAAATTTCAACTAAACTTCTGTCATCAAAATAGTGTCACTGCAAAGGATATAGTATTAACATATCACATGGTGATGAAAAAGAAAGTAGAGACCTTTATATGAAGGACAGGAATTTTGTGGGGAGGAAAAAGGAATAGAAAAAATACTTGCCAATATACCATG